TGTAATTGTGGTTTAAACAAATTCCATATAAAAACATTTACTTTAGAACTCTAAAGTAAAACAGTAGAAACAATCCATGGTTACGTTGTGCAGTTACCAGAATAAATTCCTTATGACCGATTCTTAGGATAGGAGGATTTCTGTGGTTGATACCTAGCTGATGATAAGCAACTTTGCCTTCACCAGCTACTGTTCTTCATGAACTTCTTTACTTCTGTTTTGGTGTCTATTAGTAGATTGCAGTGTCTTTGTCTACTGCATTGTATGTCTTTGAATCACAGAAAATGCAGGACCTTACTAAAACTCAAGGTTTTTGTTTTGTTTAAAGCAGAATTTCCTGTTCTAGTTCAAAAACAAAACCAACCAAACAAAAAAACCCACAGCATAATACAGCCCATCACTGGAAGCTTGTAGCTTTTTCTTTTTCTCAGTTTCCTGCTCCCCTTTGTTTGTGTACTAACTGGTAGCTCTTTTTCTGGAGGCCCCTATGTCACTCTGGTTGTTCACGCCTTTGTTTCTCTGCATAAATGTGTGATGTATAGATAGTGCTTATGTGGACGTCAGCATTTCCAAACCTTGCATGTGTTGCATTGCTAAGCAACTTTTAGCAACACTTATCTCTCGTCCTTATGCCATCTGGAAAAGAGGATTAGACAAGGAAATGTGCCAGAGAGAGACAAAGGCAAATCTAAGAAAGAGGTGGCTTAATTACTTAAGAGAATGAGTGACGTTAATAGTAGGCAATCATCAGAATTGATTGAAAGCAAGCACAATGCCTTTACAGGTAGCGATAAGGAACCACCGAGAAAGGTTGCATATTTTATACCCCCTGTCCCTTTTCCTTCCCTAGAGGAAGCGGAACACAGCTGAATCCTATTGCATGCTTACTTACAGTGATGCAAGATGAAGGCCGCTATGGTTTCAGTACGTAATTTAGATACAATTCCAGTTACAGTGAGGTTTTTTTCTAGACCTTCCAGTTACGTATGTTCAGGAGTATAACTAGCTGAATACTGTTTCGAAGGTCTCTTCCACTGGGCAGAAAAGATTGTGAAAACGCCAGTGGAGCTTGAAGCTTGTGTACAGTAGTTACCACCAGTACTGCTGTCACTGGGATAACTGCTGAAGATGGCATCATGTGCTTTAAAGTGATGGAAGGAGTGGACCAAGCAGGTATCAGAAGCCTGTTTCCAAAGAACTGCTTTGTCTTTGCTTTTATCTTCTAGCTTACATCTGTAATTGCTAAAGGTGTAAACAAAGGTGCTAGAATTTTAGCTGCTAAGTCCACCTGGAGTTTCAACTGGGTTCACACATATTTTAGAATTACAGTAGCATTTTATTTGGTACCTACGCTGTTATCACGCAAAGTGCCAGATATTCAACTTAATAGAAAATGATCACTTTATATCTTAAATATTCTTATTCTATAGTTCCTTATATACTCTAACATTGAAATGTTGTCTGATTGCTAAATAGGATTTAGTACTTTATAAAACAAGTGACATTTTTTACTGAGTTATTTTACTTCCCATACCTGGACTTTTGACTGTACTTTGACCATTGATTATTTCCTCCGCAGTTTCAACTCTAAGCTCTTCCAATAATATGGGAACAATGCAGACTAATTTTCAGTGCCAGCTCTATGCTTCAAGGTGTTTTTTACATTTATCTTAGAACAAAAGTGCATACTGCGGTACACAATTGTGTGCTGTCTTCTCACATCTGAAGCTGAAACCAGTATTCCTGACTGTGACTTTCCCTGTCCTGTCAGCAAATGCCGGTGAAATGACTGACAAATTTTCCCATCCTCCCCTGGTTTAGGACCACAAAGATGAATTGTTTGACTCTGCTATCAGTTAATATTAGTAAAATTGTGGCTGTGAACTAATGATCTCAAGATAATACTATATTTAACAGGAGAGGATACACTAGAAAAACCACATGTTCATCATGACATGATACTAAATTGCATGATTAAGTGTGCAAGTTTAATGTTGCTAGAAACTTTAATTGGCTCATACCTAAGTTTCTGTGGTATTTGGCTTTGCAGCCGTAGGAATCTTTAAACTTTTATTTTAAGTAAAGGGTATATCTTGGGTCAAATGCAGTCCAGATTTAAATAACCAAAGCTTTTTGGAATTGAGTTTGGTACACTATTTCACTTTTCACGATCTTTAAAAAGCAAAATAATGTGTGATTCTGTATGTGACAAAGCAGTTATTCATTCTTGCCATGTAATTTAATGCGATGTAATATATGAACTGAAGGATCTCACATAATAGTATCCCACAGTAACAAACCTTGGGCAAGAAATGTTTGATTCTCCCTCCTTTCCCCTTTAGAGGAGTGCCGCATAATCCTTGGTTGTGTGGTCTCCTATTCAACTTTTCACACAAATGTTGGAAGGGTATTTATAAAAAGCCTCGAGGACCACCCACTTTGCTATTGAAAATTGGCTGAAATAATCCCTTCTTTATAATTTAGCTGTGGTGGTGTTGAAATTTAAAATCCATGTGTATTTCTGTTTAAAGGGGCAGTGGAGAAATGACGTATTCAATGAGCAGGGCGCTATAGTTAATTGTTCTGGTGACATCTGTGATGGACTGTGGATCAATGGCTACCCTGCTGGTACGTACATTCATTATGCTCTCCAGTTATTAACAAGTCTTTGACATAATGCTTTGGTTGTCCCTCTTTTGATTCATATGATCTGACTATAGTGTTTAGCATCCTGAGTGCTCGGTTCTCCTAGAATGCATAGTTCTCTGGAGCAAGGGGGATCGCTATGGGGCTGAGACATTTCCTGAAGGGAGGGAGCTGTTCATTCAAGTCAAATGCAGAACTACAGTGAAGTATCGAACGCTCTTGTAATGGATTTTTATTCTTGCAGTGAGGGAGAGGGTTTTTTTGCTTTTAATAATGGGGATTTTTTAATTTTCAAGTGCAAGTATTTTGGAATTAAAAAGTTGGAAAGATAGCAAAAGAAACAGACTCTGTGTGTGCATGCACAATATGCATGTGTGTGAGAGTAATCCCAGTTAGTTTAAACTATGTCATTGGAAATAGTAAAGAATTGCTCAGCAGGTTATAATTTGGTAAGCACAGAACAGAAATGAATCCCATCGTAACGCAAAGATATGGATTCAATGGCTTAATAGAAAGCTTTTCTAATCCAATTGACTTCTGCATGAGGGGACTGTTTACACAGAATACAGTCGTTCCAACATGAGTGCAGCTGATCAAGAGATGCTCATAAGTAATTTTTTGTATTGCCTCACTCATATGAATGTATTGCCTCAAAGGAAATGATCCAAAAAACTTGAAATACAGCATGTATGCATGTACTCTGTGTCAAGCAGCAAAACATATGGAATGGAACTCAGGAGAACAGATCTCTGCAGCAGCCCATCTTAAGAATACTTGCATGTCCAAATCTCTACTGTAGGCTGTTTCTCTCCAAAAATGAACTATTTAATCAAAAAATCAGAAAACTATAATTCACCTGGTTGACTTATTTCTATCTTTAATGTTAGACATACTTGTAATGCTAGATCATATTTTTCAGAACCTAGAATGAAAATGTTTATTTTTAGAAGCATTTTCTATAAAGGAATAAGTTTTTACACAGTGAAGTGCTGCTTTAATCCAGTCAAAGTTGGTAGTAATCAAAATTCATAGCTATGTTCAAACCCTATAAAATGTTGTGATGGTCTGTTTCATGATTAGTTAGCAGATGTTAACTTTAACAGGCCTTTTTTTTCTGGCACTGTAAGCTGAACAATAAGGAATTGAATAGGTCTTGAAGAAATCTCTACACAATCATGGAAGTATTCTCTTCAGATTACTATAAGGATACATTTGAAGAGAGAAAATTTGTTCCACTCCTGTTCATTTGGTACTTAGAAGACTTAATTTTCCCTTTTCTCAGCAATGCAATCATTTACATTCTGTATTAAAAGAGCATGGTATTCCTGTTTATCGCTAAAACTTAATTGTTTTTTTAAATCTTTTAACATGCATTTTTGTGGAAGTCAAGGTTATTCACAGGACTTCACTTTAAAATAAATGTCTAGATAAGAATTTCAGGCAGAAGGATAGCTTGGGTTTTGTGAAGAAACTGCCTTCGTTAAAAGGAATGAATGTGTATCTTATTTCCATCCTTCTGGGAAAACAAGTTCGCTTTAATATCATGATTGTCCAGGCCAAGTACAGGTGGTACTGTTTGCTCTGTCTCTGAGACATTCACCTTCACAAGAACTGGAGACTCTGGATGTCTTGGGCAGCATTTTGCCTGTACGTGTTTGTTAGCTTTCTGTTGGAACTTTGCAACAAAATTATCTACCAAAGTTTCCAGTGATATTTACCTATATAAGTGAATTGTTCAGTTGTTGAGCTGCATTTGTATTACTTTACCTTGAACATACTATTGCTTTTAATTTTACAGTAGTTATTTCAGGAGACAGTCAAGATGGTAATTTTTTCCTTCACTTGCTGCTGTTCCCTGAAACAACAATAATGAGAGAATAAGTTTTACAGGTGTTTAATGCAAGAGCCTCCTGTTCTGAGTCTGAGCAACATGAAGTTAAATTATGAGCAAAAAAATTTTACTCTTCGTGGATTTTTCCCTCTGAATAATATTTTAACTGAAGTAACTTTTAATGCTGTATTAGGTTTATGTGGCAAGGTTTTGATAGTGGGGGGACTGCATGGGTGGCCTCTGTCAGAAGAGGCCAGGGGCTGCCCTGTGCTGGATGCAGCTGGTTCCAGCTGGCTCCACAACAGAGCTGCTGTGCCCATCAGCAAAGCTGGTGGCACCTCTGTGATAACTTATTTAACAAAGGGTAAAACACTGCACAACAGTGAGGAGCGAAGGGGGGGGAAGAAGTGCAAGAAACAGTCGTGTGGGGACTGAGGTGAGAGAAAGAGGAGGGGGGAGGAGGTTCTTCAGGTGTCAAAGCAGGTATTTCACCCGCAGGCTGTGGAAGTTTTGGATGAAACCATACTGGATGTTCTGTGCAGCCCATGAAGAGGACTACAGTGGAATAGATGTTCACACTGCAGCCCGTGGAGGACCCCATGCTGGGTGGATATTTCCTGAAGGAACTGCAGCACATGAGAAGCCCACACAGGAGCACGTTCTCCTGACAGGAACTGTGGCCCATGGAGGACCTACACTGAAGCAGGGGCAAAATGTGAGGTAGAAGGAGCAGCAGAGAAGGACTGTTAGGGATTGACTGCAACCCCCCGTTCCTCATCCCAGTGCACCACTCAGGAGGGAGGTAGAGGAGCTGGGAACGAAGGAGTGAAGTTGAGCCTGGGAAAAAAGGGTATGAGACAGCAGCGAAGATGTTTCAATTTATCTTCGTTTCTCACTATTTTAATTTGCAATAAATAATTTTCCCTGAGTCTGTTTTGCCCATGGTGGTAATTGGTAAACAATCTTCCTGTCTTTATCTTGACCCATGAGCCTTTTCATCTTATTTTCTTCCTGCTGTGTTGTTGAAGAGAGGGAGTGAGAGCACAGTTGGGTGGGCATCCAGCCAAGGTCAGCCCACCACAAATGCTATGAAAGACATAACAAGTAAAGCTACAATGGATCATTCCATCCATTGATTCTGGTTTGGTTGAGATTTTCATTCACCTGAGCCATAACTTTTAACATTCCTCTTAATTTTAACCTTAGTTGTTGTCATCGGTGATTTACTTTATTTAATGCTGCTGGCCCAAATAGAGCATTCTGTTGCCTTTCGGAGTAAGAAATGCAATAAATGTTTTATTCTCTGACTTCAAAACTTTACCTGAACATGTAACACTGTGATACAGTAACAGTAAGAGATGGCTAATAAGTAATTGTGACATACTAACTATTTGTTGTTCTTTTGATGATCAGCTTTTGTGAATAGTTGTGGTCCAGAGATCTGGGCTGGCATCGGAAACCACCAAATCCCATCAAGTTCTGCAACCAACTTACCTGAGTTAATGAAGAAACTGAGAAGAAAACAGTTAACTCCTGTGTAGGTAGTATGGGAAAGAGCCAAATTCCTTCTATATTTCCCTTGACTAATATGTGTATGCGGTAATCTAAAACTGGGTAGTTAGTATGCCAACTTCATAATTTATAGCAAATGTGCAAAAGTTATATCCTAAAAATAGTAGCAAATACCTTTTTTTTATATGCCGAGGTGTTTTTGTGATTGTCAAATATACTTTTATAGTGTAACATTCAGCCATTAAAGTGTCCAAGTTTTTACTGCCCTCCCCCGCCTGGTGGCTTCTGACTATTCAAGGAAGGGTTCTCTAATTAAGGAAATAGAGCAAGCTCTGTCTTCAAAAAACAGGACCATAAAAATCATCCTTCTAAGTATTGATTTGCAATCCTAAATTAATAATTGATTTCTGAAGTATTGATAAATCCACTGAAGTCCCTGGAAACTGCTGGACGTGTTAGTACTTCTAAGAAGCCAAGAACCTTTAATTCTCACTGAAATTTCTTTCAAAAATCTTACCCAGCATTTGGTTTCTCTATACATTTTTATGGCAACGATTTTCTTTTCTTTGCTATCAAGGATAATAGCTAATGTCAGAATTGTAAATACTCAACAATTATTTGAAGTACAGTACCAGATGAAATAGAATCTACAGTGAAATATTTCTTTGAAGCTGTAAAACTTGATTCTTTGTTTATTAGGGAAGTCACTGCTTTAAGTTTGTGCAGCACTTCAACAGAACTTGGAAAACACAAGGAGTAACCAAATTAAATTATACATCCCCATTTGTCAACTGTGTCTCCAGTTTGACAAAATGTAATAGACTTAAGTTGTTGGAGAGGTAGTTCTCATTATTATGCTTAATGTATGTTTTCTGCTGTATACCCAGCTGTAAATTTAATATACCGAGTACCTAACAGCTGTCATGGTGAATTTATTCTTATATTTGAACTTAATTAAGATTTTAAAACCTATCAGCACAAACAAACAAAAATGTCAAAAATATTTTCTTTCACTGGATTTGAGTGTAGATGCTATCTTTTGATGTGTATTGCACCTGGGAACTGAAATCTACTCTTTCTGTCATTAGCAATTCTGGATCTGTACTGGCTGATTTACCAGTCCCTAAGGGGGGAGATAGAGCCCAAATCTGGATCTGACGCCCTATATGGAGCCGGAGGTGCTTCAAGCAGCCAGGGTGGTGAGTAAAGATAATGGATTAGTTGACTGCTCAGGTTTTTAGTTAATGGAAAAATGAAAAAGTATCTTTGTGTAGCAGTAATACAAACAGGCAGTTCAGTGATTTTTTTTTTTTTTACTAGTGATTAAATTCTCATAATGAATAAAACCAAAATAATTTTATGACACTGATTCTCTTTTATAAGAGAAATCTGTTCCTCCTAGGGCTGCTTTTCAGTTATTTTAATCGGAAAAAAATACCAGTGTGCAGTAAGATCAAAAGAGTTCAAGTAATAATTTCTACAGTCTTAATTCATTTACCAAGACTGAAATAGGGCCTAAAACTCGAATCTGGAGTCCAGATTTTATACCCTTCTCTAATGTTCAGAAATAACTGCCAGTACTTTGCATACTTCTAGTAACAACTTTGACTGGCATGTGAAACTGGTCCCATAAATTGATATAAAATATTCAAGCAGACAGTGCAGGCAGAATTTTAAAATTTTTTCCTGACCTAATATTCTTCTGTTTCTTGTCGTGTCTCATTTTAATTCTTGATGAATGAACAGCCAGCAAGCTTTAACCTGTGAATTACTTTGATGCTGGAGTAACCGGTTCTCGTATTGCCAGTCCAAGCAGTGAGGAGTTGAAAGTCAAACAAACTACTTTTCCTTCAGAAACACCCGTGACCTGGTTTGGCTTGCTGTATTATGATTCTAAAGGTGGTGAATTTGGATTGAGTTTATTTATATTGTGAGATTCAAAACATGGAAATTGACAAAGTCTTACTCTGTATCCATAACACCAGAAGACATAACATTTTCTCTTGATCCTCTAATTGCAACAAAGAGGTTTAAGAAAAAAAACCCCACAAAATACTGCTGGCTATGTAATAAAATAACAAGACTCAATGACTTTGATTTGAAGTTTCAAATTCGGTGCTTCTGAGGAGGCTTTTTTTTGACCACTTGGTAGCTGAGACTGCAAAGGTAACTGTCCTAGCAACGTGTTACTTTGCGAAACGCATGAAAAACAAGCGGTTGCTTTTGCAGTCCATGTGCAGATCCTGTCTGTGACTCATGCAATTTAATCCATTAGAAACAAAATCTCTTGTGACTCTCTGGATGGGATACCATATGTTGCAACAGAAAAAGAGCACTTTTAGAGGAGGCATTTCAGTGTTATTGGAAAGATGGCATTGCAGAGAAAACACAGAAAATGTGTTTTGCTTTAAATATTAGGACTTCGAAACAAAACCCAGTAATTCTTTTCCATAGTTCACTGAGCTAAAGACAGTTTTGGGGATTCAAGGCGTCCTGTTGTTACAGGCAGTCAACCATAGGTTTCTAGTCTTACAGTGTCAGTACTCGGGTATGCATGTCTGTGTGCATGTGCTTGTGATAGTTGATCCATTTTGCTGTGCCCTGTAGGGGGACAGAATAATATATGTACAAATGATTGCTTTGTTTTACATAATTTTGAAACATTGTTCCGTCCTGTAAAAAGATGGGGCAAAAAGTGACTGCGACAGCCACACACATCTTCATCCTAGCCATCCCGCTGTCCCACCCTTATTTTCATTGTCACATAGGCATGCATAATTTGCAAAAAAAATAACTAGTTCATGCAGTTCTATTTTGTCCTTTTTCAGTTGGTTTTAACTTGCCAAAATAAATGAAAAACACTTAAGACCTGAAGTATTAAAGATATCCCCAAATTACCAGTATTAAATAAATACGTCCCCTTTAGCTTATTCCGAGGGCATTTTGTTGCCAGATCTTGGGGTCACACATAAAAATAATGTTCTTCCTTTTGTGGGACACTAAAACAAAAAGAGTGAAGGTAGAATTCTGGCACAGTATTTCCAGATGTCATCGTTCCACAAAAGTCCTAATCCAGATCAGGGAGATGCTTTATTCCTGTTGCACTTTAAGTGAGAGCAGGAGTAGTAGTATTGCTCTGTATTCTCTAAAAGAATGCAGATTAATTTACATGTGTTTTTAAATTTGAAATCTTTCATATAATTATGTATTTAAGTAATGAGCCTTCTATGAAAGGGAGAAGGATTATAAGCTCAAGTGCTTTTGATCACATGTGAGGTCAGAGGAAGCAAATATGGGCCTTTGGGACACAGTATTTTTAATTTTTAGACTGCTCTTATTCACAGATCAAGTTTGCCCAAAGCTACCCTACACCTGCCTGTTTGTGATGGTCCCTTAATGTGACCATTACTTCAGCAAGACATCCCTCAACCACAAATGTTTTCTGTTCTTGGGGTTCAGTGATAAGAAAATGTCAACTGCAGCAGACTATGAGGACCCTGCTACTCTATTGTCCAAACTGTATTTAAGAGTACAGGGGTTTTTTATGGTGCTGGGACTTTGAAGAATTAGGCTTTTGGTTTTGAATTTTTAAGTTGGGGTCATGTCCAGAGTGGTTTCTTCATAAGTAGTAGTGTCTTTTTAAAGAGTGTTTGTGGCAGACAAATAGTGGGACTTTTCAGAGTTAACTAATCATCACTGATTTCAGTGTGTTTGGTCAGGGACATTGGAGTAATGGGTACTGGAAGGCAAGTTAGATGAAGTGAGGCAGAGGTGGTAGAAAGAGTGGGGAAAGATGCCTATGAGACTAGAAGAAAGGAAGGAGGGAAGAAAGAAAAGGAAGAAAGGAGAATGAAGAACTCTTGAAGAGCTATTGAAAGACTCTTTTCTCCACCCGTTGCTCTACTGATTTTTCTTCTGGTTCTTCTCATCTCTGCTTTTGGAGAGAAATGTTGGCTAACTCTCACAATACCTTGGCAATAACTCCTGCTGATGGGTAAATGATGAGATCTTTGAGACTTTCATGCATCACTGCCTATAGTATGGATATAATCATGCAGTGATGGAGAATCATCCAGTTTTTATCCAGTATTGATGAACTGTCGGTGAAAGAGTTCCAAGAAGTTTCGTTGTTTAGTAATAACATATATGTAGCTATTGTTTAAATATGGATGTTTTTCCATATTTCAAATAGGTAACCAGATCCACACCCATGAGAGGTATTAGACATAATTTGACTATAAATTCTCTGTAGTCGCTATCTAGTAACATATATCTTAGGCTTACATATTCATTTCTAGTAGTTTCAAACATCCAATTTGAAGTTGGCCAAGGTGGTAAGCTAGATATCAATACAGCTCTTTGGGTTCTTTTCCTCATTAGTGATGTATTTTTACAACACTTTTTCTTTCAGTATTATTTTCCAAGACACTTTTTAGAAAATATAATAATGACTGCTTGAAGTAGGATTAGATACATACTAAATGGACTTAAAGCATCAGTGTTACCTTGGTTATTTCAGTCTGCTACACTAATGGAAGCAATGCATGCATGTTGGAGAATGTTCTCTATATTCTTGATGTTATTACAAGACATCACAGTGTAATAAAGAAATTTCTAGGCACTGGTATCAGTGACATAATGTTGCTAGTTGTCCAGATTGTTTTAATTTGCTTCATATCATCACATTTCTGCTGCATCAGCTAAAATATTTTTCGTATTTCTGGATTGATTGCTACATGTCTTAAATTTAGGGGAATTTACAAGACTGAGTTACAAGCTTTCAATTGAAACCAGGGCTAGGAATGTATGGAGCTTTCGTATTAAGCCAACTCAGATGTATCGCTGGTTCATTGTTTGGAAGATTGGAGCTGTAAAAAGTTCTGAGTTTTGGCTCCTACTGGTTTTAGGTCACAAGCACTTAGCCTTAAGTATTCTGCCATCTAATTCAAGCTTGTCACTGTTGGATACTTTTTCTTCCTTCACCCGCTAACTCCACGGAGTTCTACTAAAAGTATATCTAATCCCAATACTTTTCTGAAAGCTCATTGTGGATGAACGGATTCTCTTCTTATTTTACCATTGTGAGTATTCAACTGGTAACATTGGGTTTGAATGAGGAACAAAACACAATTGGGTGAAGTAGTAACTGAGCATTTTAGTTGTTCATTTAAGCAGAAAGATCATAGTTCAGATAGACCTACATTAAAATTACTGCCTAAGTAGGATACAAGGCAAACAAGGTTGGATTTCCAAGAATGGAGCTCATGGAATTGTAGACAGTTTGTTTAACAAAAAAAGGTAACAAAAAAGACCACCTCTTCATATCATATTGTCATAGCTCTGCACTAACAAAAAATTGACTGCATAAATTGCATAATAAATGCTTAATGGATTAAAATAGTGCATGTAATTAAATAGTCTGTGGGGAAAAATTTATTTTGTGCTATTCCATGTTTTAAAATGTTTTGTTTGTAATAGTGCTAAAGGTTTCTTTATGGCCTTGATAATTCAGGAGAATACATATTAATCAGTAACAGCAGCAATTTGAGCATAAATGTTTTGGGATTGTCCTTTAATTGGCAGTATTCAATTTGATTAATTGAAGTTCTAGATTCATCAATAATGATAAAGTTTATGTGGTAAGAGAGATTATCTTTTACACGAATGTATACGTTGAAACTTACCCAAAAAAGGGGTAAATATGATGATTTATCTTTGGAGCATACAGAAGGGCCAAGCCAGACCTGCATCTTTTCATATGTAGTTGGACATGTTACAATGCCAGGATTTGGAACAATTTTATACCTGCTAAAGCAGGGTGCCTGGGAAAAACATCCTGCTTTCTCCCCACTATTTCTTCATCCTAGAAGCCTTTTTTAGAATATTTGACAAAAGCGAACATGTAACTTAATTCAGAAACAGCATCAGATGACACACAGGCTGTCATATGTTAGTTAAAAAAAAAAAAAAAGAAAAATAGTTACCATAACAACTGACTTGCCACTTGTATTTCCCAGAAAGAGAGTATCTTAAAAGAAAATGTAATAGGTCAGTCACATGCATGTTAGTAGTGTTTTCAGTGAAAAAGCATGAAATGTTTTTTTTCATGGGTAGCAAGAATTTTTTTTCCTTACTAAAGTAAGGTTTTGATATCAAAAATATTACGCTTCTTAGATGGTTATGTCTA